CTCAGTGGGTTAAAGCCTCTGCCTTCGGCTCAGGTCATGATCCCAGGGTCCTGGGATCGAGCCCCGCATTGGGCTCCCTGCTTCTTCCTCTCTCTCTGCCTGCCTCTCTGCCTATTTGTGATCTCTCTGTCGAATAAATAAATAAAATTTTTTTTTTTAAAGATTTTATTTATTTATTTGTCAGAGAGAGAGAGAGAGGGAGAGAGAGCAAGCACAGGCAGACAGAAGGGCAGGCAGAGGCAGAGGGAGAAGCAGGCTCCCTGATGAGCAAGGAGCCCGATGTGGGACTCGATCCCAGGACGCTAGGATCATGACCTGAGCCGAAGGCAGCCGCTTAACCAACTGAGCCACCCAGGCGTCCCTAAAATATTTTAAAAAAACAAAAAACAAAAAAAACCTAACCACTATTTCTCTGTAACAGTAATGTTAATGTGCAAACTGACATTAAAACTCAGTATGATACATAAGGATGCCCCCAAAAAGTACTTAGATAAAAATCTAACAAAAATGATCAGTGGAAAATTATAAAACACTAACGAAATACAAAAAGATCTAAATAAATGAAGAGACATATCATGTTAATGGACTGAAAGAGTCAACATAATAAAGATGCCAAATCTCACCAAGACGGTCCATAGACTAATGTGATGTCTGTCAAAACTCCATCAAGACGTTTTATAAATAAAGAAAATCACGATAACATGTATATAGAAAGCCAAAGGAAAAATTAATACGGAAAGCTAAATCAATTTTTAAAATATAGGGGAAGTCATCACTTTACCCAATTTTAAGATTTACTGAAAGCTACAGTAAGACATTGCAGTATTGGCAGAGGGTTAGACATGCACATCAATGGGATAATATAGAGAACTCGGAAACAGATCAACATAAACATGCCCAACTGACTTCTGACTAAGGAGTAAATGTTCAATGGAGACATAATATTGTAGTCTACTTTTCAGCTAATGGTGCTGGCCAACTGAACATCCTTAGGCGCAAATACAAGAAAGAAACTCAACCTAAACCTCACATGATAATACAAAAATGAACTCAACATGCATGAGAGATTTAAATGTAAAAGGTAAAACTATAAAACTTCTGAGAGAAAAATTCAGGACAGAGAGCTTGCTTAAGACTTCTTACACATGACATAAAAAGGATTAAGAGGCTCCTTCATAATAATGCCATGAATCAATTTAACAAAAATGGCTTGGCCTATGATGACAATACGAAAGTACACACGTGGTGACTGAAAGGGCCCTGAGGAGCGTTCAGTGTGAATGCATGGTCATTTTTACATCTTTCTCCAGAGCATATTTCTTTTTTTTAAAAGATTTTATTTATTTGTTAGAAAGAGGGAGACAGAACAGAAGTAGGCAGAGCAGCAGGCAGAGGGAGAGGGAGAAGCAGGCTCCCCGCTGAGCAAGGAGCCTGATGCTGGGCTCAATCCCGCGACCCCGAGATCATGACCTGAGCCGAAGGCAGCCATGTAACCAACTGAGCCACTCAGGCGCCCCATTCACAGCATATTTCTTAATGAGAGATAATAGTATCATATGTAGCTCAAAAAAATAAACAAACAACAAAAAAACAACAAAAAATACCAAAGGAATTCCAAAAGACCCTGATAAAAGGTACTAGTCCTAACTTAGTATACCAGGACTAAGGCCATAGTAACAACTGTGAAACTCTACAGATAACTGCATGTGCACATACTAATTTTGTCTGTTAAAATTCTAGTCAATTTCCTCAATAGCAAATCTTCACACAATCTTTTTTAAGAGTAAAAATGAGATTCCTTCTCTGTGCTTTTCTGAGTTTGTTTGTTTTTTTTAAGCTAATTTAGCTACGTGTTTTATTTTGTTTTAGCTCTAATTCAATCCCTAGAAAACAACTGATGTGGACTTGGGAAGAGTCTCTCTGAGGAGGATTGGAGAAGCTTAGGAACCGCAGAGGGAAGAATTCAGGTTCACCAGGGAGGGTCACATAGCTACACTGCCATCTTCATCACACAAACAAAAAACAATAAACAAAAAAAAAAAAAAAAAAAACAATAAACAAGTAGATCAAGAGCAAGTACAAGTAGTGGGTTGTTAAATACACATGAAAAAAATTTTTTGTGTGTTTTTTTAAATCAAAGTCTTAAGAGTGTGGTACAGTGGGCCCATTCATATGTCATTTTAATCTCCTACAATGTAACATTTCATAACTCAAGCCTTTATATTTCTCATTAAGACTTATGCTACTCGGGGCGCCTGGGTGGCTCAGTGGGTTAAGCCTCTGCCTTCAGCTTAGGTCATGATCTCAGGGTCCTGGGATCGAGCCCCGCGTCGGGCTCTCTGCTCAGCACTGAGCCTGCTTCCTCCTCTCTCTGCCTGCCTCTCTGCCTACTTGTGATCTCTCTCTCTCTGTCAAATAAATAAATAAAATCTTAAAAAAAAAAAAAAAGACTTATGCTACTCAAGGGTAGAGACAAAGCTGCAGAACAAAGGCTTTCAATAAATGTTTTTAGACACACCTTAAATGTCCAACTGTCCTGAAATGGACAGCAGTGGAAACACACATAAGAAAGAGGGGACAAGGCTCTGTGAACTCTGAAACAACATCCTCCCCTTTCCCAAATGAGATAAGGAAAAACAAACTGCCATCGGCTTGTAACAGAAGTCTGAAAGAAGCCAAGCTTGTATTTCTTTCTCTTTTATGTCTTTTCCTCCTTTGTTTAAATATCCCTGAGATAATTTTTCAGTGTAAACTGAGGAGAAAGATGTGGCTGATGGTTACGCTAAGTGCATGAGAATGATTGGATCACACTCATGGATGAATTCTCAGATGCAGGGTAAGGCTCCAGATGGGGTAAGTTTCCCGTCTGACTCCTCAGATGACAAATGATGTCCTGCAACAGAGGGTTTCTCATCGGGAAGGAAACTGAGGGGGTTCTCTTTGGTATGAATGATCAGATTCTGAGTAAGAAGTTTCCTCAGTGGTTACATTCAAGAAGTCTTTCCCCAACAGGAGTTCTTGGTGGTAGACCAGGTCTGCCCGCTCATGAAGGGTCTTCCCACTTCGGTTACACGGACAGGGTTTCTCCCAGTATGAATCCTCTGATGCTGAGTGAGGGACGAGTTGCGACTGAAGGCTTTCCCACACTCACTGCACTCATAGGGCTTCTCTCCGGTGTGGATAACGGAGTGTCGGATGAGACTGGTGCTCCAGCAGAAGGATTTCCCACACTCCATGCATTCATAGGGCTTCTCTCCACTGTGAATCCGCTGGTGCCTCGTGAGCCCTGACCGGCGGTTGAAGGCCTTCCCGCACTCCGTGCACTCGTAGGGCTTCTCTCCAGCATGGATGCTGATGTGTCGAATGAGGTCTTTCTTAGTGCTGAAGGCTCTCCCACATTCTTTACACTCAAAGGGTTTTTCTCCAATGTGAGCCCTTTTATGCAAGATAAAAGTGTAGCAGTACGTAAAGGCCTTTCCACACTCGTTGCACTCATAGGGCTTCTCCCCAGTGTGGATGATAGCATGTCGAATAAGGTTTGCCCTCTGGCAAAAGGCTTTACCGCACTCCACGCATTCATAGGGCTTCTCTCCACTGTGAATCCGCTGGTGTCTCGTGAGGTATGACCGGCGGTTGAAGGCCTTCCCGCACTCCGTGCACTCGTAGGGTTTCTCCTCAGTGTGGATGCTGAAGTGTCGGATGAGGTCTGATCGATTGCTAAAGGCTTTCCCACATTCCTTGCACTCGTAGGGTTTTTCTCCAGTGTGGGCCCTTTTGTGCAAGATGAAAGTAGAGCAGTGGGTGAAGGCCTTTCCACACTCACCGCACACATAGGGCTTCTCCCCAGTGTGACTCCGCTGATGCTGCTTGAGGTGTGACCGGCGGTAGAAGGCCTTCCCACACTCGAGGCACTTGTATGGCTTCTCTCCCGTGTGGATGACGTAGTGCTGAATGAGGTCCGTGCTGTCGCAAAAGGCTTTCCCACATTCATTGCATTCAAAGGGTCTCACTCCGGTGTGAATCTGCTGGTGCCATGTGAGGTGTGACCTGCGGTTGAAGGCCTTCCCGCACTCCATGCACTC